CCCACTCTAGGTGGAGCATACTTTCCCATCTCTTGACTCTAAGTTTGGCTGCAGACTTGCTTTGGACAAGACATGACCCAAACAGAAGCATAGCAAAGGGTATGGGTGGAAGGAAAGATGTTTGGGTCATGTCTTGTCCAAAGCAAGTCCACAGCCAAATCTAGAGTCAAAAAGAACAAACTAATCAAAAACAGACTCACAAATATAGTGGACAATCTGGTGATGGACAGAGGGGAGGGGAGGTTGAGGGCTGGGAGAATGGGGTGAATGGTTAAAGAAGTACAAATTAGTAGTTGATAGATGGTCACGGGAATGAGGAGCACGGCATAGGGAATCACAAATATAGTGGACAATTTGGTGATGGACAGAGGAGACGGGGAGTTGGGGGACTGGGAGAATAGGGTGAAGGGTTAAAGAAGTACAAATTAGTAGTTAGTAGATGGTCATGGGGATGGGGAGCACGACATAGGGAATGCAATTAGCATTAATATGATGGCTAGGTGGAGAGCCAGAGGAGAGAAAGAGCAATTAGAGGGATCGTTTTATAAACTATATAAATGTCTAACCAATGTACTATATACTTGAAACTAATAAAATAAATTTTTTAAAAAAAGAAGGAAAGAAAGAAAAAAAATTAGGGTTCTTTCAATATCTAAGAGTTGATGAAAAAGCTGTAGCTTCTATCTGAGATTTAACCCAGGTTCAGGGAAGGAATGTTTGACAGAACATGGAGGGAAACCTCCAGCTGATTCAATAAACTTGTTTTTCATGCAATTGAAAGACCAAAATGGGAGAATATTGCTTCCTTTGTCACCATCAATAAGAAGAAATCTATCCAAAAGAGTGGGATTGAGCAGCAGGGAAAATGCCAGATGTATCTTGTAAATCAGAAATATCTCCTGTTAAAACTATCTATTCCATAAGAGGACTGAGAATAAATTTCAAATTCACTGTTTTATCCTCAGTGCTTGGTATAGGGCCTGTACATAAGGGTTGTTCAATAACTATGTGAGAATTAAATAAATTGATTATTGGAAATTATCGTAAAAAGAATGTGTATTCATTTATGTATTTATTCAATAAATAATTGTTGAGAAATTACTATGTATGATGTCTTATGGCAAGTGCCAGGCACACAATAGTGAGAAAAATGAACAGATAAATCTCAGCCCTCAGACAGCTGATAGTCTGGCTGCAGAAAACAGAATAAATGAGGTACAAAATAGTCAGATGATGCTAAGTGCTATGGAGAAGAGATATATCCAAGAAAACAGATGGCTGGGTTGGGATGGAAGGTCTCCGCAATTTTAAAGAGGCAGTTAGGGAAGGTCTCATTGGAAACAATAAAAAAAAAGAGAGAGCATATGAATAAATTTTTGAATGAGGTGAGGGTGTAAGCCATGTAGCTATTGAGAAATAGTGCTCCAGGTAGCAGAAAGGGCAGGTGCAAAGGCCCTGAGGAAGGAGTGTGACTGATGTGCTTCATACATAGCAATGTGGCTAGTGTGGCTGGAACAGAATAAGAGAGAAAGACTATTAAGTGAAGTATTCAGATAGGTCAATGGGGCCAGGTCTTGTTGGACTTTCCAAACCATAGTTAGAACTTTGGCTTTGATTCTAAGTAAGGCAGAAACACAATGATTTTGAAGAGAGAAGTGGGAGGATATGACATATTTTAAGTGAATCCTCTCTGGCTACTGCATTGAGAATATACTAGTGGGTGGAAAAGGCAGAAGCCAGGAGAGGAGACTTAGAAATTTCCAAGTCAGAGATGATGGTGGCCAAAAAAAAGCAACATTCCATGAAATAAGTTACCTGGAAAACTTGTAGAGAACATGCATGTGTGTTTTTCACTAATGATTCTGAAGTTGAAAATTTTAGAGCAGATACATAAAATAGAATTCTATTTTAATGCCATTTCATAAAATTAAAAATCTCCTTGCTCTTCCCACTATGTAATTTTCTCTCTTCTTATTGATAGAATATTCAGATATCTAAATGTTCTATAAGTACACATGTGGTTTGAGTTACCTATACCTAAAATTCAGGAATGTATGACTCATTCCTTTATTGTCTTCTAAAATAACTCTGAGAAATATAAAATTTAAGCCCTGAGTAGTCATAAAATGTTGATGAGTTACAAGATCCTTACCTAAAACTATTTATTTGCATGGCCAAATCATCAAGAATTACTTCTACCATTAAAGTCACAAGGAGGAAACATGAGAAAGTATCCAAAACAGAAGAGGGATCCAGAGTCTTAAGATTAAATCTACCCATTTTGATTTTGAACTAGTCTCAATGTTTTCCTTCACAAAATAAAATTGATAAACATCAAACTGCAATGATAGTTGGGATAAAAATCACCTCGTTTTGAACACCTGCTATAACAATTTATGCAGCGTCTAAGAGAAAGCATTGCACACAGGAACAGCAAAGCAGAGAGATTGAACTTTTCTAAAGGCCTACTTTCAAATTCTAGCATCATCACTTTCTGCAGAGGCTTGAACCAAATGCTTGATTCAGTTTTGAAGTGTCAAGTTTTTCCTCTCTAATATGGTAGTAACAATATCTTCGGACCATTATAGTTTGACGATTAAATAAAAAATAAATAATGCTTATAGAAGAGACTTATATGGCTCCTGGAAGATGGCATTTTTTATTCATATTATCTTGCTCTCTGTAAAACAGCAGAAAATTAATAATCTTAGGTAGGTAGAACTACTGAAGCAAAAAAGAGCATTGTTCTACTTCCCAAACCAAATAAGACAGGAACTGTAGAAACAGAAATAAGAAGTGTGGATTTGAGGCTCCTTTAGACTGTAGAGATTCTAGTTAACCTAATTAAGATAATGGGACCTTAATAGGCCTAAGGGAAGCTCCCTGTGATAAAATTGTGAGAACACATAGATTTATGCTGAATGCCTCTCAGAAAATGAAACCTGAGGGCAGATTCAGACAATTGACAGTGTTATAATTAATTCTGATAAAAAATTTTAATATAACCACAACAGAACAAAATTGGACATTAGCATGCATGTCATTATTGTTATTATATATTTGCATATTCTCTCTTATTGAAATAAGAGGAGTTTTAAATTAGTACATATATCGATTTCTGTATTAGTCATTTATTAATCTTTATGTCTAAGTATTACTTATAACTTGTAAATGCTTCTAAGCCAACAAATTCTAACATCAATTTAAATTTTCTCATGAAATGATTGTCATTTGCATTCAATTCCCCAAGTGCCCCAGCTGTCCTGTCCCAGGAATATTCCTGTACTATAATCTCCTTAAGAGGTGTGTGAAAGAGCTTTTCTGTGCTCTAATTAAGGATTGTCACACACCTCCAATGACATGTAAAATGAAATGATTATTACAAATAGGACTCTTCAACTCCAAATATGCTTGTGGGCCAATTCTCAGTTTTTCCCTTGCAATAACAGGGTTAATGTTTTGGGGGAAAATAAATTAAAGAAAACTGCAGAATTTGCTGCTACATCAAAAATCAACTTGGTTACTATTAAAATTATATTTAACAATGTTGCCATATACAAGCTTCTATTTTTTGGCTGGCTATACAGATGTGGATCTAAAGAAGGAAGTGCGTGACTTTCATCTTCTCCTGATAATTTTATGTTGATTACAAATTATACAGATGGAAAGAATATGAAATAAAGTGTGATGAAGGCCAAGAAAAGAAGGGGATAGCATAGTTCAGTGACTGAGGAAACCAATTTTGGAATCAGAAAGACGTGTTCAAATCAGAGTTTTTCAACTTATTAGCAGTGCGACCTTTGGTGATTTATTTAACTTCTCTAAATTCATTTCCTGGTCTTAAAAAGATACTTAATACTCCTATATCACTAGGTTATTGTGAAAATTGAGTAAGAAAATATATAAAAGTTATTGTTGCAATGTCTTTAGCATATAAGCAGTCAAGTATTATATTTACTCAATTATGTTACCTTTATAATAATAATCATCACTCAAGTATTATTACTTAGTTGTTGTGGTCATTATTACCATAATCATTAAGAAAAGAAATAAAACACTTGATCTATGATATTCAATATTCACTCTTGGCTAATTTGAACTCAGTTTCCGTCTGACCCACTCCTTTCCTAAGAATGAGGAGTATGGTTATACATTACGAAAAATCGAGGAAAACTTTTCCCCACTGTGCTAAAAGACAGAGCTTCAGGCTGAGCTGAACAAAGAAAAGGAGTTGCCAACTAACTACCTTTTGAAACAATATTCTTCCCCGAGGATGGGTATGTGCGTGATATACACATAGGCCAGGCTTTATGAGAAGATCCAACTACAGATCTCTGATTATTGCTAATGGTCCATGACTCACTTGTTTCCGGTTTTTTTGTTTGTTTGTTTGTTTTGTTTTGTTTTGTTTTGGCGGGGTTGGGGTTGGGGGGTGTCATCTACTCCTGTGGGTTTTTCAGGTCATTGCCCCTGAGACTGGCTTGAACTCTTTGTTTTGGCGGGGTTGGGGGTTGAGGGGAGTTTCTTGGCATAGAATGTCGGGTGTAGCCGTGGTAAAGTCCTAAGTCTAGTCTCCACTCCCAGGCATCTGATGAGTGAAAATGTTTCTGGGGGACAAAACCTTTTATGGAAAGAACAGTGCCCTTTGCTCTAATTCCTAAGCCTCCATTTGAAAGCTGGGAGGCAACTCGACTTAACGTGTATGGAACGTTCCTTCTGGATCCAATCCAGGGAGAATCATGGAAAGCCTACAACATCGAGGTTTCCCTAGGCAGCCATGAGCAGGCAGAGAGACTCGCTTTTGAAGCCCATATTAAGAGAGAGAGTATAAAGGAGTAAAATGGAGAGAAAGGAGAATGAGATGGAAGTGAGACGTAGCAGGACTCTGGACTCGGAGGAACTCTACTGACCTCTAGAGCTGCAAGCATCCCTATAGCCACTACTTCGCCTCCAACTTTGTTTTTCCCGACTGGGCCACCGTAGCTACGTTGATTCTGGGCATGCGCGAAGCAGGGCCGTTAGCCGGAAGCCTGGCTGAGGTGAAGACGCCGGAGGTCGCCATGGCGAATAAGTCCCGTCTCCGCGTCAAACTTCATAGTCTGAACGAAGACCAACAATGGACTGATCTAGGCACTGGGTACGTCTCCTCTGCCTACGTGGAACGACTCCAGGGCGTGTCTCTGCTAGTTCAGTCAGAGTCCAACGGCTCACTGATCTTGGAGTCAAAGATAAATACAAACACTCCGTATAAGAAGAAACGGGGCCTATTGATAGTTTGGTCTGAAGCTGAGAACCATGGAATGGCATTGAGTTTCCAGGACACAGCCGGGTGTCACGAGATCTGGGAAGACATTTGCCGGGTTCAAGGAATAGACCCATCCGTCGACATCACACAAGACTTCTTGGATATTTCAGAAGATGAATTTGATGAAATTCCAGAAACTAGTAATATGGTTGACCTCCCGAACTGTGAACTCGGTAAGCTTAAACAGATTGCTACCATAGTTACCTCAGCTCTCACTTCGCCTATCCGTAAGGAAAGGCTGGCCCTGATCTTGGAAAATGAGGACTATATTAAAAAGCTACTGCAGCTGTTCCACACTTGTGAGAGCCTAGGAGACACTGAAGGCTTACAGCATTTGCATGTAATTATGAAAGGAATCTTATTCCTCAACAAGACGTGTCTGTTCGAGATAATGTTTTCTGATGAGTGTATCATGAATGTGGTGGGGTGCCTTGAATATGACCCTGCTTTGGCTGAGCCAAAAAGGCACAGGGAATTCTTGACCCAAAATGCAAAGTTCAAGGAAGTGATACCAATAACAGACTGTGAACTTAGGCAAAAAATACATCAGACGTACAGGGTGCAGTACATTCACAACATCCTTTTCCCTGTACCATCCGTATTGGAAGAGAATTGTCTTTCTACTATCGCAAATTTTATTTTCCTCAACAAGGTTGAGATAATCCGCATGATACAGAAAGATGACAAGTTTTTGCCTCAAGTTTTTTCACAGTTGAAGGATAAGACTACAGATGATGATAAACGGCGTGACTTGGTATTTTTTTTCAAGGAATTCTGTTCATTTTCTCAGTCATTGCAGCCTCAAAGCAAAGGTGCACTATTCAAAACATTGACAAAATTGGGAATTCTTCCTGCTCTTAAAATTGTAATGATCCTGGATGACTTGCAAATAAGGTCAGCTGCTACTGACATACTTGCTTATCTAGTGGAGTATAGTCCATCCATGATCCGAGGATCAATGCTACAAGAATACAAGCGGAACGAAGACTCTAAACTGTTCATTAATTTACTAATTGAACAAATGATCTGTGATACCGACCCTGAGCTAGGAGGTGCTCTTCATTTAATGGGACTTCTTCGTTCTCTACTTGATCCAGAAAACATGGTGGTGACACCTAATAAATGTGAAAGAACTGAATTTCTACATTTCTTCTATAAACAGTGTATGCATAAACTCGTAGCACCACTTTTGGCCACTACAGAAGATACATGTGAAAAGGATAATATACTTGGAACTGACAAAAACAGCAAAGATTGCCTCGATGATTATCAAACAGCACAGCTGCTTGGCTTAATTTTGGAGCTGCTCACATTTTGTGTGCAACATCACACATATTACATAAAAAACTATATTTTGAGCAAAGACTTGCTAAGAAGAGTCTTGATCTTGATGAAATCTAAGCACACGTTCCTAGTCTTGTGTGCTGTTCGCTTTATGAGAAGAATAATTGGCCACAAAGATGAACTTTATAATCGTTACATCATCAAGGGAAATCTCTTTGAGCCAGTTGTAAATGCTCTTCTGGATACTGGAACTCGGTACAATATGTTGAATTCAGCTATTATTGAACTGTTTGAATACATAAGAGTGGAAAATATCAAGTCTCTTGTCACATATATATTTGAAAAGTTCTATAAAACACTCGAATGGATTGAATATGTACAGACATTCAAAGGTTTGAAGATTAAATATGAAGAAGAAAAAGACCGACAGAATAAAATACGGAAGAATCTTCATTACACCCTGTATAGTAAAATATTTCACAGAAGTACCAGAGCCTTGGAGAAGAAAGAAACCTGTTCTAAAGAAAATACGCAGAAAGTAGAAACAATTATGGAACCATCGAAAAATGATACATTTACAGAGACTAAAAATCCAGAAGAAAATGAAGAAAATCTAGATCTTCCTAAAACAACATCATCTGGTGGCTACAAAGTTACTTTTTCCAATTCTGCTGGTCCTGTTAATAGAACAGGTAACCCAACCTGTAGTAGAGTAGTTGGCTTGGTGGATTATCCAGATGATGATGATGATGAAGAAATGGAAGATGAAATGCCTCCCGGGAAAAGACCACATCTGGACCCATAAAATCTTTATGGGAGACCTTCAACATTACTAAAGTATACATTACTAAAATTCTAAAACTTCAATTAGCTGAAAAACCTGAATCCAAAAGCTTTCTTCTGTGAACTTAAAATAAGAATGCAATAAGTAGCAAATACACTCACTGTTAATCATCTAAAAACGTTGAGTTCTATAAAAACCTAACTTCCCAGAATCTTAAATAACAAGAACATTGGTGCATGATAACTTCTTAGCAAGAAAAGTCTCAGTTTGGGGGGAGGAAACAAGTTGATAATATAAAATCAATGTAGTTTGTTCCAGCAGTACATATTAGAAACAACTATAACATTACTTGCCTAAAGATTCTGATTCTGGTTTACTTTAAGTTGCCTTCTTTGAAACAAAAATTTATGTTTGTGTTTATATAGAAAACAAAGTTAATAGCAAAATATAAATTTAAGCTATTTATATTTTCATGAAGATTTAACGAAAATTCAGCTTTATGAGTAATTGGAGGGAAGTAACTTTCAGTGTGTATTTCCATAAATAAAAGATCTGGATTCAAAATGTGCAGTTGTTTTTGTTTTGTTTTGTTTTTTATTAGTGATGCCAAGAATCAGTCCAGTAGTATTTTAAAACGGTATTCTCTAGGACCTTGGGTGTGGGTAGAACAGAATGTTTTCAACTGCCTAGATTGTTAAAAATACTTGAAAGTCATTTTCTGATTCATTAATAAAGCTATGTCTGACTCCAGAGCAGCAAGTAAATTTTAAAGTGTAATTTACAAAGACTAACATACAAAAATTAGTGCTGAATGAAGTGGCACTTATTATCTAGAAACCATTTTGGACCAAGAAAAAGTTACTTAGGTGTCAAATTCCACATGCAGTAAACAAACAAGGGTGTAATACAGAAGGACAAAAGGTGCTTTGTTAAAGAGTCAATACAAAGGCATTTCTAAAAATAAATTGTGGCAAACAGCTACAAGGTTTTATTTTTAGAGGAGCAAGTTAACTGGATCCATTTATCCTGGATTAGCTTAAATTGAAGAAGTTTTTCCTGTTTGGAAGATTTTAGGGTTAATTTTAATTTTGACCATCCTTTGAACAAGATGGGCTGTCTGTGTAGGTATAAAGTATAGTTTTCCAGAAGACAGATATTTATTTTGTATTAAAAATACCACTGTACTTCTTTTGTATCATTTAGTGATGATATGCATACTGAACTAAAAAATTCAGGAATTAAAAAGTGACCCTATAATTCCAAAAATAAAAGAGACCATTTTAAAAGTACTGTTGTGCCAATAGGAGACACATCTTATGCAAAATTAAGATACTTTTGTATAAAAGCTATAAAGAGTGTATTCCTAAAACGAATAGTCATTTCACCAGATACAGTCTGTTAAAGTGTGGACATGACCCCAGGAGATGTCATCAGACATTACTGAGGACATGACACAGCAGGGGAACTGCGTTTCCACATCTCTCAAACCATGCTTGTTAAATTAAATGTAATGGGATTATTCAAAGTAAAGTGACTTTGTGAGTATATGTCGAAAAAAAAGGCAGTTTGTTTGAAAAGCATTTCATGTTTTCCTTCTGGCTAGACTGTCATGGGGAATGTTATCCATAGTACACACATTTATATGCATACGCAGAGTTTCGCTTTGAAATAAATATACTTCACTCTTTCTTTTGGTGGGAGTAGTACTTGTTCCTTAACAGAGCAGCTATTTACATCTAGACAGAGAAGAGCAATTTTTTATTGCTCTTTCTGCTTATTCTCTTCCCTTCAGCTAGTTTTAATCGGCCATAAAAAATGAACACTGTAGGAGAAAAAAAAGTGAATATTTGCATTTTTTGTTGTATTGTCCCCAGAGTGTTTGTAAGGCAAGTTGAGGGAGGGCATAAGTGTAATGGCAAGTTAGGGGGAAAAAAAAGGAAAATTTAAAAAAAAAGAGGCGTTCTATTGAGCTGTGTAACCTCTATGAGCCCTTTTCTAGTGTCAGCTACTTAATGTTAGGGAAACAACGTGACAAGCAAAATGGTGCAAAGCCAAATTGCCCATCAGATGGCATAACCTACTATTAAGGGAACAGTTAAGAGGGCAACAAAACACAGAAGAGCAATCCTTACTATCTGCACACTGAGTGAAAAATTGACCAAAATGTTCAGTCTCTCTAGATAGATAGTGTGTGTGAGAAGATACCATGTCAAAAATGTTTAATTTCCTCAAGTTTTTTAGAAGTAATTTTAAAAGGTCCCTCGAGTGGGTTATTTATGAAATGAAGAAACAATTTGGAATGACCCTGTATATACAATAACATTCAAGTGAGCATTTTTGGAGAAGTGCCCTGGGTATGTCAAGGTTTTGGCTTTTAATACATGACTTCTGGTAATTTTTATGGCTTGGTGACTTTCTAAACACACTAACAAGGGGAGGGGGATATAACAGATAAAGTAAAAGCTTCTTATTCAGACAGCCCTTGATGACAGTGCAGGCTCTGACACCAATTCTATGACCTTAGACAATTTATTTATTTTATCCTCTAGCCACGATTTCTCCATCTTGTCTTAAAAATTAGAAATTACATGTAAATTACCAAGAACATAGTTAGTCCTCAATAAATAGCTTTTAAAACTGATTATCATCAGCAGCAACAGAATACTCATTTCCAAGAAATGGGGGATAAAGTGACATACGCACTTACATTACAAATTATGCTCATAAATCAATAATCCTATATCCTGGATTAAATTAGTAACAACATGATAAATAAAAACTAATGAGTTCAATTTTAGTTGGCAGACAAGCCTACATGTATGCACTGTGTCCTGCTGAGATCCAACTGAAATAAAAAGCATAAAAGTAGAAAAATAAACCTTCATAGCAATGAAGACTCTTGGGTGGAGTGGTGTCTGGGATATGAACCAAGAAATGAGAGATGTCAGGAGTGAAGAGTGAAATTGAAATCAGAAGAATTGGAGAGAAGAGAGGAGGGCATCAAAGATTTGTAAAAATAACAAGAGCACTTAAGTCCTATTCTCTACTCCCTCGCCCCTCCGGGCCCATCCCAGCAAACAGAGAAGTCTCTAGAACGTATCTCTAAATAACAGACGAAAGTTCTCTTCCTAAAGCAATTGGAAAAAGAGGCAAAGCTGAGGGCCCTAGTATGGATGTTTTTGCCGCAGAGTTAAGCCCTTCTCTTTAGGTTTACTGGAGGATCCAAGATATTGAAAATTTAGCACCCTAAGGTACAAGTCACTGTTTTCAAGAAAGAGACATGTTAATGCCTGTCTCCCATCCAAGAGATACAATCTCAAAAGCACAAATGGTGCCTCTGGAAAGAAAGTCTTTACAATTGGCAGTCCTATACGATAGTACCTACATCAGGCAGGGAACACAGGTTGGGAATGCTAGCAGGTAAGCCTTACGGTTCCCTGTTCAGCTAAAATAACAGCCTAGACTTTGTTTTGGAGAGTCTGGTAAATGCTGTCAATCCAATCTTCTTGTTTGTCCAGCATGGTGGTGTGACGTTAGTCCACTCCATGGAATGACCTGAGATTGAGCGTGGAGATGATATCCAGATGGGGTGTGTGTGTGTGTTAACTCATCTTGACTGAATATTTCCGTGCGTGTGCACGTGTGTGTGTGTGTGTGTGTGTGTGTGTGTGTGTGTGTTAGGAGCCGGGATCATACCCAGTTTTTCCTAATTGATCTCTCAGTAAGATTAAAGGAAAAGGTGGTCAGAGTTATCTGGCCGGGGATGGCAGACCCAGCAGTCAGTTAAATTCAAGGTGCTTGCAATGGTTTGAAAGAGCTATGCCAGATTTTTTTCCTTGAGGAAGAAGACTTCAGAGGTAGTTCTGAAGTACAAATGTCATTAATGCTCCTTCTTCCCCTGTATAACCCTAGGTACTGGGTTGCTGCTCTTCCTCCACCTCCACAATATTTGAGTGTCCCTTTCTAGAAATTATAACTTTGCCCTTTTTTCAATCATTCCCTACTTTCATCCAAACTTTTTATCTAGAAGGATCAAATGTGAGAGGGACAAGAGTATTTTTTATAAAACCAGAATTAAGTATGAATCCTGTAGGTCCCATTTTTTCTAGGCTGCCACCAGACGGTATACCAACCAGGCTGGCCTGGGTAAAGAAATATGCCCAGGAATGGTCAAGACAGAATCCTAAATTTTCAAAAGAGGTCTATACAATTTCCCATCCCTTTAGTCCTGATTTAGTGAACAAATTGCCTCATTTTGATGTAGGGCTTCTCAATCTCACCACTGTTGACATTTTTGGCCAGATAATTTATTGTTGCACGAGACTTTCCTGTGCATTGTAGGATATTTAGCAGCATTCCTGACATCTACCCACTAGATGCCAGTAGTACACCCCCAGCTGTGACAACCAAAAATGTATCCAGAAGAAGCTAAATATCCCTCAAGGGGGATATTAGTCTAAAGATGTGTGGAGCTTAATACAAGGGCTTCTCTTACTTTGTGGATATTAGGTCCACATCTACTCGGATGAGTCACCTTCTCTTTTACCCTCAACCTGAAAGGACCAAGTTCATACAAGGGTCAGGTACATAACACACTTTTATAAAAAGAGAATGGACTTTGTTTGGAATTATGGAGATCCCAGTTCTGTTTTTCATTATTAGCGTAACCATGGCATCTTATTTGACACCTCTAATTCACAATTTTCTTATCTGTAATGTATGGCTAACAGCACTGTTATGGCTGAATTGTGTCCCTCAAAATTCATATATTGAAGTCCTAACCCAGATGGCACTGTATTTGGAGATAGGGTCTTAAAAGAGGTAATTAAGTTTAAAAAAGGTCATTAGGGTAGACCCAATTCCAATATGACTTGTGTCTTTAGAAGAAGAAATTTAGACACAGAAATACACACAGAGGGAAGGACCATATGAGGACCCAGAAAGAATATGGCCATCTATAAGCTGAGGGGAGAGGCCTCAGAAGAAACCAACTTTGTTGATACCTTGGACTTCTAGCTTCC